AGCCGCTCCTCATAAGACTTGTTCTCCAGACCCCTCACCAGCCTCGTTGCCCTTCTCTGGACACGCTCCAGCACCTCCATGTCCTTCTTGTAGTGAGGGGCCCAAAACTGAACACAGTATTCGAGGTGCGGCCTCACTAGTGCCGAGTACAGGGGCACGATCACTTCCCTACCCCTGCTGGCCACACTATTTCTGATACAGGCCAGGATGTCATTGGCCTTCTTGGCCGCCTGGGCACACTGCCGGCTCATGTTCAGCCGGCTGTCGACCAGCACCCCCAGGTCCTTTTCCGACAGACAAGACATCGATGGATAACTCCTTTGTCTGATAGATTATGGGCTATATGAATAGCTAGGCTTCATTTTCACATGACAATATAATATTCTAATTGTAAAAATTACCTGTAATCCCCAAAAGACTTCTCCTTTTAAATGCTTCTGAGGGCCAAACCTTGTGAGCCTTTTCTGGTCTCACGTTTCTCACTGCTTCCACCTACTGGTCTGTACTGGGGTCGTGCAAAACTCATTTGCTGGCCAAGCAGTTTCTGGTCATCTTCCAGATATGAGTGGCCATTGGATTACTCCAGCTCCTCCACTTCCTTGCTACAGCTCCAGCAGTCTTTGGAAACGCAGCTCAAAGCCAGTTTCAGAGGTGAGAATAAACATTAAAGATAACAAGACACTAACGAAATATTTTGAGTACAGCCAAAGGAGATGAGGGAAGAGCAAAGGAAGAGACGAACCAAGAGCCTGGAGAAACTTTATTCTGCAGGTGAAAACCAGTTTTGCTCCAGAGTCAAGAGACCCAGAAAAAGTACTTGGAGCAAGAAATCTGTTGAGAAGCGTACATCTGTTCATCAGGTGGAAGATAGTCAAGGCAGGTCCAGAATATTTAGCTGAGCTAATATCCCTATCCTTCCCTCAGCACACTTACAGTCATGTAGAAGAGTCCAAGTATTTTAAGATTGTGTCTTAGTCTTGGTTAGGTTTTGCCTTGTAGACTGTTTTGTTATAACCGATGTTATGGTATTCTGAAGAGAGGTTCCACATTCATGACATTTATATTCCAGAATGCATTGCCGCTTTCTCCAAAACATCAAACACTGAGTCACATCATCTCTCCTGCCCAAACTATGCATGTTTCTAAAATGACAGAGAAACAGATTTAGTAACCTACTCCTACTCCTTGCCAGTGTGTGTACTACAAATGCTTGCTGATCTAACACCAGCTCCTGTCAGAAGCCATGGCTGGATGATCCAAGCTGAGATTGGGTCCTTTGTACTAGGTTAAAGAATTTACAAATGTAAATTTTTCAGGCCAGAATCTGCTTCTTAAGCACACTGCAAAGCATGTCTTTGAATTGCATTTTGTTCAGTTTTCTCCATTTGCCTTCATATCTTGGTCCCCATTAATGCTTTCAAACCAAACCCCCCCTTCCTCCTCCTCTGCCTCCAATTTTCTCTGTGTGCAGGGTAGGATTTTATTTTATCCTTCTGTCAACCTGCATCAAAGTTGTGTAAATCAAGCAGCCCGTGTGCTTAACTGCCTCTGTCCTTACAGAGTGCCTTTTTTTTGCTTGCTTCCTCAATAAAGAGTTTCTTTATCCAATACAGCCATAAAATTTTTTTGAACTCTTTGTAAATGGTTTTGCATACCCCTCCCTCCAACAATTACAGATTTTCTTTCTCCCGCCATCATAATACCACAGAAGCTTGGGAAGCTTTTTGCTCCCCAGGGTTTTCTGTTCCCTGCATATAGATAATAAGTTCTTGTGTTTACTCATCACACCTACTCACTACTTTTCCCTTCTTCCCTACCACACACAGCTCTGGTTGTGTTTATTCCTTCATTTATAAATAGAGAAGAATCTGGTATGACACGCAGAGCAGTTGGCTTGCTGCACTTGCACAACACTGTCTGTATTTGCTTTCCTTTTGCCTTTCAACCACTGAAGCATACTTTGAAACCTGTATTACAGACTTCTCATGATGAATGATAGTTTCTTCATCAGAAGTCTAGTAGTTCTTTTAAACTTTTGGGGAAACTGAGTTTTGTTTCTGAGTTCTAAATGGTCTTATTTTTCTACATTGAACCTGGTGTAACCTGGTGTTTGATGACTGAGTTCTTCGTGGTCTCCCCTGTTTGCTTCTTTGAATGGATGAATACGTCCCTACCCAAATGGATTTGGGTTAGTTCACTGATACGTTACAGGTCTGCTTCTGTCATTTTAAGAAATCTTCAGAGATGATCCAGGATACATTGCAGAACCACCTGGCTTTTAAGTATACTGCATTACTTAAGTTTCTTTAGCACTCCCAGCCCAGATCTCTCTCTGCCTTTTATCAATGGGAATTTGCACAGAGGGCTGGATTGTGTGTGTATGCAGATCTTTGTACTGTTCTTTCTTTATCTATTTCACCATTGGCAGCTTCTTTTTGGCTTTATTATCTAGATTTTTGGACAAAACCTGGGCATTTTAGTGCAGGTGTTGTGCTTTGACCAAGACCTGTTTTGTCACATCTCTCCAAATCCAGTGTCTGTGGAGAAAAAACAAGAAGTTGAATCTTACATTCCCTCAGTGATCATAAATCCCTGTGACAGGGTCTCTATCTCTTTCCTAATAAGAAAAGGCTAATTATCCCTAATACTATACTTAGTACTAGAGACAACATCCATCTCAATTGTATTGGTCCAGCCAAATTGGATGATGGTATGCTGGGGGGCTGGCTGAAGTATTACAGAAATACGCATGCAAGATATTCAGGGTAAATACAGAAAAGTACTAAAATCCTTCTTAGGCTAACTATTTGAAAGCAGTAAGAGCCACCACTTCACAATAGGCATGTAAAGCCAATTACTAATCTAAGCTGTGTGAACGAAGGGTTCAACTGTTTGTTGGGGACTTTCGTATCTGACTAAGTAGGATTGCACCACAGAGGCTGCAGAGCTCGTTCAGAGTTTCTACTTACAGTGAAAATAATATACAAGACCTCAAGTTCGGGCTAACTTCAGGCAGTTTGAGGATTGACAGTAAGATGGAGTGGAAAGACCTACAGCTCTCTACTTAGTGAAGCAAAGTAGACAGAAAAGAGCCAGGCATAGGTTGGAGGTGAAAGAAACATGGGTTCACAGTTCATAGGTTGGAAGCTGCGAGTACCACAGAGAGGTGCTTCGGGGAGGTAAGCTGGTGAAGAAACTGGCATAGTTTTTATGAGCATGTGGTTGGCATAGTCAAGAAGAGCCACACATGCAACCACAAAACCACCCTCAGAGGAACTGAAGGAGCTGGGGTCTGATCTAGAGGCACCTCCAATTTTAGTTCCAAAGAATTTAGATCAACTCTGACCTCCCCGTATGTCACAGGCTCAGAAATTTCACTTTGCATCATTTCTGAGCCAAGACACGTGTATTTGGCAAGAGTACACTATTGCATATTCTTCTGTTCTGCTCTTGATTTGAATAAAGGGAACTGGAAAATCCACTTCTTGTGGTAGTTTGTTCCATTATTTAATTACTTGTGCTGTTAAAAATACGAGATTTATTTCCCATTTGAATTTGTCTAGTTTCAGCTGTCAGTCACAGGATTTTCCTATGACTTCCTATACCATATTAAAATGTCTTCTATTCCCCCATGTTTTCTTTCCAAAGAGTTTTCATAGATTGTAATAAGCTTACTACTGAGTCTACTTAAGATGCTAAACAAATTGTATTATCTCCCATTGTAAAGCATTTTCTCCAAATGTCTGCACCCACGTCAGTTCATCATCCTTTTTTAAAAATGAATTCTAGAATTGCATATTCCAGTTTTGTCTTCACGCACAGCCCTGTGCAAAAGTAAAATTACATCCCTGCTACTGTTTACTATCCCTGTGTGTGCACCTGCCACAACATCCTAGCCGGAGCTCATACTGGTTTGTCTCATATGGCCACTGAATTCTTTTAAGTGTCTCTACTTTGCAGGCTAATCTGGTTCTGCAATTACACAGCCTTTATGTCTAGATTTAGGATTATGTGCCTGGTTATATGAAACTCACTCAGTTTGGGCCCCAGTTACCACCAAATTACACTGACTGCCGCTATTTACCTATGTCATTTTGCCAGCAGCAGTGTTGCAGTGATTGATAAAACTTCAGACTGCTCCTTGTGGATTTCTGTGAGAAGCAGCTCTATTTGTTGATGATTTTACATTGCCAGTTCATTCTTAGAGCACTGTCAGTCAGTTTTAAATTAAGATAGTGATATTGATATGGTATAGTGCTGCTTTGTCTTATCATAAAGTCTTATGGTACCATGTCAATCGCTTTAGAAACATTTAAGTTTATTACACCTTTGCAGTTACCTTTATTTACCAACTTGTAGACCTCAAAGCATGAAATCAAGCTTGTGAGCAAGATAGTTTTCTATAAAACCATGCTGATTGGTGTCAATTGTCCTCTTCTTCTTCGGTATTTTTTTACATGTGTTTCTGTAATTGTTTGGGACTAATATCAGGTATGTCATCTTAAAATTGTTCAGCCTGCCAATGCCTCATAATAGTAGCATTGATAACCTTAATAACCTTCCAGTCATCTAGGACTTCCCTGCATTCTAGGGTGCAATAAATTTAGCATTATTTTATCAAGGAAACTGGTCTTCAGCTCTTGAGTCAAAGAGTATCCAGGTGGCAGATCAGATGCCTATACACCAAGTACTCTGAGATCTGTGCAAAGGCAGAACATGGCAAATTTCAAGTGCCTTTTAAGCAACTTGTCTACAGCACCAAAATTTTCAGACAGTGTCCTGAAGTTCTATACACCTCTGAATCAAGGACAATTTGTTTATCCATATTTGGATGAATAGCTGTATAGCAATCTTTCAGAGGAATTTTTCCTCTACAGTTCATTACTACCTGCAGGGTATAGATCTCTGATCAACTAGGATAAATCCTCTGCCTATCCTGAACTCCAGTCTAGCCAGTCTGTCTCCCCAAGGAGAAATTTTTGAAGATACAACACTACTTGGTAATTGTAAGGAGAGAAAAAAAAAATTCAATATAAATCACACATTTTCTTTCTTTGGGCTCCTAGGCCTGCTAGCTTCACCAGTGTTGCACTTAGTTATCCAAGCATGAGGCCTCTACTGCACAGAGCAGGATCTCAGTGCTATCTATTAACTACAGTCTCCAGAATAAAAGAGTTGTGTCTCTTATGCTGACTTGGGGATTTAATTCTTGAGGAGGAAGGAGACAATGTCCTAATAGTGGTACCGTTTGTTCCTTCTTTTCATTTTGCCACAATCACTAGCAAGTTTCTCCTGTCCGAGCTGTGGCACACAGTGTCAGGATTGCTGAATTGTTGACCAGAGGAACACCTGCAAGGTCAGACTCTGCATGCTAGAAATTCTGGCAGGATTGTAACCATTGGAGCTTCCCCCCCCTCATCGTGCCACACTCCAGAGCACAGACAAGGTCGTGTTCTGCAGTATTATAAAAAAGGGGATAGTGGCAAGAGGAGGCACTTCGTTTCCTGCCTAGAAAGCAAAGTGCTTTGGCTCTTGTTTATTCATATAACACCTGCCTAGCAGCTGTAGAATTTGTGGGGAGAAACGTGCAAATGGTTCCATAAACAGCGTATGCATTATTTCTTCAGAAGTTGGCCAAGCAATTAATGTTTTTCTTTTCCTTTTTTTTTTTTTTTTTTTTGTTTGGCTGCAAGAAGATAGCTAGCATCACTTGTGGTGTGTAGGAGCATGCAGACAAAGAGATTGTCATGTGTGTGATGCTGTTGGGCTAGATGTGTCACAAACACCTTTCTCTCCAGACTGTAGAGAAAACCTGGTCAACCCAAATCCCAACACATGAATAGTCTCAGTGAAGCCCTAGCCTGCACCAGTAACCAGATCTGAAAATAATTTATCCAGATACTTTCTCCTTTTAGGCTCAAGTCCTAATAAAAAAGGGAGTGTTTCCATCCGAACTTGGAGAAGGCTCCACTTGAGATAAGGAATTGCAATGAGAATTAGATATTGCCAAGAAAGACTGTACCTTTCTTGGCATAAGCTCAGGCTTTAGAGCCACAGCCTTTCCAGTAATGTCCTTTTGCCAGTCTCTCCTCTTCCTTCTTTAAAAATCTTGGTCTTCAGAATTTTGAAAGAACTTTGTACAGTCTGGATTATTCTTTGGTCCATGAACAACCTCACATTTCCACAGGGTAAGAGTGTATACTAGGAGGAGGTTAGCTGTAGTACCTGATGTGCTGTGACTTACTGTCCTAGGTACCTTGCTCATTTGCCTTTTCACTTTTCCTCCTGATTTTAGTGATGGGGTCTGCCAGCATTCTTCATGCATGTGTCCAATGGAAAATTCTCCTTTGTTTCCCAGTATTTCTTGTACGCAAAGGCTATAGTAAGGACCTTGAAGAGTTAATTTTGATTGAATTTGTTTTCTCTGCATATAAAGGGACATCATTCAAAACCTATTTGCTCCCCTGCCTTGACTCCCCTCAGCTTCCATTGAGTATAACTAGCAAAAATCAGAATTAACAAAAATCTGGGCCTAAAGCACCATGTGGAGAGAAACTTCATACAGGCTAATGGGCTGAATCATAGATTACTGAACTAGAGGTAGCTACGTTCAGTAGTTGGTAATGACAGACATCCTGAGCCAAACATTTTCCTTCATCACTGTGCCTTTTCTGTCCCTGCATGAATCTATTAAAAGAGTTGGTCTCTGCTGAGGAAGCACTGCCAAAGCAGCAGGGAAGCACAAATAACCTGTGAATCATTTCAGAATCATTTCTTTGGGGCTGGTTTTAGTGGCTGATATCCTTGTGTGCTGTAAGGTCGGGCATGTGAATGGAATAATGAAAGTGTAGGCAAGAGGTGCTCTGAGCTACTAACACATTCTTTCCAGTCTCCTCCTCTTCCATTGTGCTTTTTGCAGTACTGTGTTGGAGCTGACTAGCTGGGTGATTTGTGAATCACGGATCCATTGGCCCCTTTCTGCATGGAATGTTTATGGATTTAAACTTCATGCTTTAAATATAAAGAGCTCTTCTGCAGTCCAGCACACAAGCTGACTTGAGTTTCAACTCTGTAAAGGGGAAACGGAGAAGAGCATATGTAGGAGATGGAAATGTGGGGAGAAAGCAGCAGCTAGAAGAGTTTATAAGATGAAATCAACAGTCCCTAAAGATGAGTACGGTATTTTATTCCTACTTTCAGTAAGTCCCTATGACTAGCTACTAGTCACAGAGTTCCTATAACTCTTCAAACTCTTCCAGCTGCAAAATCCAGGGATGTTTGTTATCTTCCTGTGCACCTCATAGCACATGTTGTGTTGATTGACTAATGGATGTTCTACGCAGTGTTACCTATGAGGAGCCATACCAGCTCAGAGCAAAAGTCTACTGAGTCCATGTGCTGTCATCACTATCAGTCAACAGTAAATACCCAGGAAAGAAAGTATGCTTCCCCAGAATACTTTCTTAGCATCTAGCAGTTTGCCAAATGTGGTGTCGTTAGTAGCCCTGGAGGGATTTTACTTCTGTATGTGTCCAGTCCCTTCTTATTTTTTTTGGTCAGCGTAAACTGTTAACATCCATAGCATCCTCTGATAAGGAGATTCACAACTGAATAATGCAGCACGGAAAGAGCTACCTCCTTTGTTGATCAAGCCTGGTCCTTTAATGTTTCCAAATTTTGCTCTACAATTAAATTCTCTTTTTCTTTTCCCTTCCTCTTTGCAGGCAATTGACAAGTATTGTCGAGTCAGCGGTGGCTTTTCTGGTGTCAAGGATGTCTATTCCTCATCTCCTACATATGACGACGTACAGCAGAGCTTTTTCCTTGCTGAAACTTTGAAGTAAGTTCTCTTCGCTCTTGCATCTTTCTGTAAAAGCTAGCATCTAAATTCTAGAAGAATGCAGTGGCTCAACAAATAAACTATTGTCTTGTCAGGGTGGTTTATGGTTTGGGCTTTCTTTTTTTCCCAGCTTTAGGGTCCCAGATCAGCCCATTTTAGCAGCAGAAATACAAACGGAATTTCCCATACAAGAAGCTTATGCTGAGAGAGCTTTAGTTTTTAAGACTTCTATTTGATTTCTGGCATCAGAGCAGAGGAGAGGTTATCTCCTTTTAAGAAATTCCCTTTGCAAAAGACATTTTTTTTTTAGATACATTGACTTGACATGTCTTACGCAAGTAAGTGGCATGCTCTGATATTGTAGAACCTGTTTATCCTGTGTGTGTCACTGGAAGGGAGTAAATGCATGGGACAAAAGTCCTTCGTGCCCTTGCATGATTTTTCTGTATTTATCCCACAACTTATTTTTCTAGAATGCTAGTAAGTGTAAGCAAGAATATCAGGCATATTTTATAATCTCTTGCATACTTAAATATTTTCAATTCAGTCAAATCACCTGTAATCCACCCTGCAGCAGCTAATGTACTCTGCATATTTGGTTCAAGATAAAATGTTCAAAGTCATTGGTCTTCCACTATGTTTCTTTTTAATTAATAACAAAAAATGCTATACTAGAATGTGCCATAACCTCTAACTTATGGAGATGATACATACAATAAGAAAAACTAGTCTAAAGATGGGAACATGTTACAGGGATTTTATTAAGAGATCCATTTTTAAAACAGCTAGCGTGTCATGGCTACTCATCTCCTTCATCATTGACACAAACCAGCTATCAAGAGCACTCTTATCACACATGGTTGTGATTGCTCTGGGGTTTTGCCTATGAAGCAATGTCTTCTTATGTGTGACAATTTTCTTGATAGTCAAGTTACGTCACCAAATTTGGTAATATAGTTCTGGCATTGAAATCTACCAAGATTCCTCTACTGGTTACCTCCCCGAAATCTTGTGAATTGTCTACTTTTGGAAGCAAAATATCTGAGTTGGCTATATTCCCTATCCCTTTTTTTTTCCTCCTGCATAATAGTTTGGAGAATGTTTTAGTTGGTTAAATCCATAGACAGAAGCCATTGCTGGCAGTGTGATTGAGGCCAGAGCTGCTATTAGGAGACCTAGTTGTTGCCTCTGCTTACATATCCATGCCACTTTCTGCCAACGTGTGATGGAAGGGATGATACATATGTTGTTGCACAAACCTGTCAGTAGCGAAGACTCATTAAGGTGCCCTTTCTGTCTTTACAACCCAGTGATATGACGAAAAAACAGTTGTAACTATTTGGCAGTCTAGCATGGCATGCAGGCTTTGCAGAATAAACAGAGTTTCTTTACAGCAGCAGAGTTTACAGTATCAGCAATATCAAAATTTCAGGTTTTAACTGTAGCTGATGTATGTAAAGATTGATTTTGTGTATCGGAAGCTCAAAATGCAGCGGGGAGAAAGTGGGTCGTGAAAGTGGCAGTACGGGTGCCTACTTCAGGCACCACAACATGTTTCACTGGCAAGAAGGGGCTCCAAGTTCATCACGGGTAAGGGGAGAGTCTGGCTATTCTATCCTTCTGCTGGGTCCTTACCAAATTCCTCTGCATAGTCACAATACTTTGTTTCCCCATGTTACCATTATAAAAGAAAGTCAGCCACTGCTATCTCCTCTGTTGTCTTCATTATTTTTATTTCACTTACTCCTTCAAGTTCATTTTCTGGAGACTAAAAGCTATACTCCCAAAGAGAGAGGCAGCAGTTTCAAACAGGTCCAGTCAGAGAAGCAATACCTCCCTAGGAGCTGGTCTTATATGATTGATCTGCCTATAAAAGGCAAATCAGAGAATGAAACTTGCTCCTAAGGGACTTCTGCAGTGGCAAGGCTGACCTTTGAAGTATCGCCAGAATCCTGTCTGCATCTTAAATAATCACAAGGAGATCTGCAAATTCACTGATGCATCACTCAGTAACTGGATGTACTATAGTGCAAGCATTGCAAAAGAAGGCAGTTCTAGGAAGGAACTCAGAAATTTTTATTGGCTTTTGGTTTGGATCATTTCCCGCTTGTGGGACAAAACGTTTTATTGGAGAGCTGGATATTAGGTGTTTGACATTGATGCAATTGGCATAGCCAAACCAGAAACTGGTATTACGTTGAGATAAAATAGACAACGTAAGGTCAGGATAGCTCAAATGGCTATGAAAATAAAGACAGAAGGGTTGGGTGTGATGCCATGAGGAAAATGAAGATGTCCCTCAGAAGAGGGGCATAACATGTGTGTTACGGAATGCCTGCTGTGATCTTTTCTGCTATTGATGATAACTTCTGCATCTTCGTTCCCCTCAAATTCAACATTGACACCTCCCCCAAACACGCATTGTTGCTGCTCGGATACTTTGGCTCATCAAAGATACTCAGCAAATTACGAGAGTTTGGGCAGTCTGAGCTGCAAGAAGGTGGCTGTTTGAGTGGGAAGGAGCAAGACGTAGAAATAGGTTGCCTAAGTTATTCAAAGGAAAAGCATGAATCAAATGAAGAAGGTGAATTTGAGTAAGATGAAACATTGCTACTGTGGTGAAAAAGAGTTTGAAGAGCTACAGAGGGAGAAAGCAAGGTAGGAGTAAGGAGGAAAGGAAAGGCATGACGCTTTAAAGATGAATGAAAAATGTAGAGAAAGAGACTAGACATGTGGGACAAAACTGAATCATATAAGCAAGAAATTTTTATCTGTAAACAGTTAATTGGTGAGGAAGGGAAGAAAAAGTAGAGCTTCACTGACTGGGTTGTGCTGTGGATACAACTGGCAAATAAAGGCCAGGGGAGAATGATCAGGCAGTGACACACGACTGTAGACAGTAGACACTACCAGCATCTGATTGAGAGAGTGCGAAGTAACAGCAGCCTCAGCAGAGCGAAGGCAGAACAACATGTGTGCACATACTGGATGTGACAGAGCCCACTAATGGGAACGATGCCCCTTCCTTGTCACATGCTGCAAGACCTGTCATTTTCTGGATGGCAGGAAAGCAAGCTGTAGCAGGAGCTGAGAGCTCCTGTACACCCATGGTGTTACGCTTGCACTTGCACAGTCAGGTTTTCTGGTACAAGGGAAATGCCTTTGGAATTTTAGCAATTGCATTTGGAAGCCTTGACAAAGATCCCTACCACCATTACACATTAAGTGTGTATTAAGAAAAAAGAACCAAGAAATACTCTTCTTCTACAGATGTCCAGAAACCTTAATTTTGTTACATGCTTCATTTGCTCTGCATTGCTTTATAATGTCCAACATTTATGAATCCCCTCTGCACAATATATTGGCCCATTTCCTTCCACCAGAAGCTGAACCGGCTTCCAGCACGGTGATGACAAGTCAGGTATCTGGCAGGGCTTAGTGGCTTCTCTTCTGCTTCCTCAAAATCTTTTGGATTAAAGAGGATTAGTTATTTCCAAGTGGGTTTACTCCATTAAGAAGAATTTTTTGTCAACAACTTCTCTGCTCCCCTGTCCCCCAAATCTTGTGCTTGGTGTCTTGATGCTTGTTTTACATTGCAAGTCTTTGAAAGGAGTTTTGAAAAACAAAAGTTACTTGGAAAGATTAAAATGCTGTCTTTATAACAACTTAATACCCACCATTTTTCCTGTCTTGATATCTAGGTATTTGTATCTGCTTTTCTCCAATGATGACCTTCTACCATTAGACAACTGGGTTTTTAACACAGAAGCTCATCCTCTGCCTGTTTTACATTTAGCCAACACCACATTGTCAGGAAATCCTGCATATCGATAAAAACAGCTCTATGAAGAGGAGGAGAGACTGTTTTCAGCTCTGTTTTGTTTACATGGACCACTTGAGACTTTAAGCAGGAGAGGAGACAGACACTTGATAAAACTAGACCTCTGAGTCAAGCAAGTACCGGCGTGAGAAACAAAGCTCTTCAACATATAGATAAGTTAAAAATTCTGTTTTATACATGACCAAAACACGTTAGTGTGGTATTTGCAGGACAGAGACTTCATGCGCTTTGAACCCTAGCAAGACATGGAATCTACTGTTTAATATAAACGCAGCAGCATAAGGAAGAAGAGGCTTTCCCGTCCAGGGAGAGGAACTTGGTGCTGCTGCTCCTGGCTGTTGCAAGGAACAACACACCAGTCATCTCTTCAGATCGGGTGGGTTCCAAATACCTAGATTTTATTTTTCTTTTTTTGTGTTTGATGATGGCATGAACAAAGCAACAACAAAAAGCAACATCACTGCACCAGCAGCATCAGGATTTGAATTTTTTTCTGTACCTGTCTGAATTTTCTAAGGAGCATCTGTTTGACCAGACTGGCAGCCATTCTCAGGGCCTCTAAGCTATTAAAACTAAACTATAAACTATAAAAACTATTGCCTCCTCATTTTCCCTTTCCAAAATAATGCTGAAAGATCAGCGTTGTATGCTTACATCCAAAAAAACAATTAGTAAGCATTTGGTTTGTAGTTCATTGTCAGCAACGTGGGCTTAGTTCATTTGGCAAGCCTAAAGTCACAGAGTCTGGAGCATATCGCAGGGGTAGGAAGGAGACGAAGTTTCCCTTCCTCACAAGTCCTGTCACATGGAAAAAAACATTCTCTTATTAGTCGCTCTTTTAGCTAAACAAACAGAGACGACAACATGAGAAAAACAGTCTCTCATGATTTATATAACAGGATACAGTATATGGCACTTAAAAATGCTCCCCTTGAGCTAAGCAGCAGGAGTTTGTTGCTTTGTATTTTTCCACACAATCGGGATTTTTCCTAAAAGTTAAATTTCATTCTTTGGATACTATTCATGGAACCTTCTTTGCAGGTATGTGTATGACAGAAGCCCAAAACTGCCTTTGATTTAGTTTACAAAACTCCTTTTCTTCTCAGTGCTCCAGTGCAAAGCCAACATAATCTTCTTTGGAAACAACGTAACATCTCTTACATATGAGTGGAAAAAGAAACTGAAGAGTCTCTTCTTCCATTAGTTTATGAGAAATGAGATGCTGTTATCTGCATGGGTTTTTTTCCGAGTACTCCTAGGCTGGGCTGGACAATATCACTTAAATGGGGTCTGCTTCAGTCTTCACTTACTGGCTAAAAGAAATTTTGTCTTTTCAATTATATCTCAGTCTCTTTTTTTTACCATTGATCCAGAATCCTTACAGCTCAAATTATTCTTTTTATTCCCCTTTATAGCTCTCAAATCCTTTTGCCGTGGTGACTGGCCTCTTTGCTGAAAAAGAGCTGTGAGGTGCTCCTTTCCCTCCTAATTAGTGCGCAGGTTGAGTCTTTAAAAAGTCTTGATTGTGTTTTAGTACTAACGTGAGTGGAAGAACTCTTCAGTGAGCTACAGCAGTACAGCATCGGATCTAAAGGGAGTGAGTGCTATTTCTCCCCCTCAAAAAATGTTTATATATGAAGTTTTATATAGAAAAGCTTTTCTCTCTATCATATTATAATATATCTGACTGTACAGTATAGTAGAATTTCCCCCATAAAACTTTTCTTTGCTCGTCTTTGACACTAACTTAGACACAGAAATCATCACATGATCTAAGAAAAAATGCTATCAGATGCTTTTTTCCAGACAGTTACTTTAACTTAAGAGGAGGAAGACATCGATCTTGGAAAAAAAACTCCAATCCCAGTGGTTTTACCTTAATAGCAGTTACTTAGTTACTGTAATTTGCAGCAGTATCTTAAAAATAATTTGAGAACTGATAAAGTAATTGATATAGTAAATAATACTGATTCAAGTAATTGTTTATTTAAAATCAGAAGTAGCTTAATAAATGGATTCTTCTTACTGGTCCCACATTAATTTATTTTTCTAATTAGTATTCAGTGACTTAACTGAAGAGCTAGTCATTTTCCATTTTCCAAAGTTCAGATACGTTGTGTTTTCAAGTTGAGTTTTTCCCATCCCATAAGAACTGTTATTAGTTTAAAACTGCACTCGATGGATTGCCTTGTTCTCCTAAATCTCTCTGGGTACAAAGGAGAAAGAGGAAAAGCAGACTTTTCTATTTTAAAAAAAAAAAAGAAAAAAAGAAAAAGGCACTTTCACCCCATACACCCATCCCCATACACCTCCTGATAAATGCAGGTGTAGAATGGCTGCCAGTCTGTTCAGAGAAAGGTCAAGGACAGAATTCTGGAGTCCCAGAAACAGCAAACTTCTTATCATTGTTTGCTGCTCTTCCACCCCCCTCGTGTGAATTAAAGAGCGACGCTTCAAATTAATTCTTCTATGAATCCCAATGGGTTAACTCACTGCCACAAGAATGCTTGAATTGAGGACCTAAGCCATTTCATGTTATGGGATGGTATTTTTCTCAAAGCAGATGTACAGTACTGCTATTTCTTCTTTGTGTAGACAAGCAGCAGCTACCAAATAAAGGACACTTGTTTCTCGTTTTCCAGTTACCCCAACGGCTGTCAGTTTCTACTCTATCACTCTTTAAAATACAAACTATCCTTTCCCTCCAGAAGCTACTGATGTGCATAGTGTATAAAAAATAATGCATTTTATGGACTAGTTGCTGTGTCATTCATGAATCTCTCCAGCCTGAGATTTCCTAGAGCAAGCTGAGTTTGGAGGTAATGGGTTCTGAGCGAGATGGGTGCGTAATAACCAAGCACCACGGATATTGAAACTTCTGACTGAAGTGACGTGCCCTTGTTCTGAGTCCTTCACAGAGAAGTAGGTTCTGATCTGCAGAATGGCGTTATGTGCAACCCAAAGTTCAGACTGTTTTCCCTCTGGGTACATAAGGTACGGTAGAATATTGCCATTTTCATTCTGTTGCTGCTGTCTTACATACTTTCATGAAGATAGAGTGTAAATTTAAGCACAAAAAGACTTTTTAGTCCTAGTTGTTTCCGAGTCTTGCACTGTATTCTCTAACAAAATGATCCTCGTTTTCTTCAGGTAGCTGTCCCATTTTAGCCATTTCTACAATACCCTCTCCTCTTACAGGATGAAATAAAAACCAGAAAATCATGTACGTTTTTGGCACACTGGATTTGGGCAAGAGCCTGGAAATCCCAGAATTGTCTATTTCCTGTTTGCATGCAGTCAAAACAAGGATCTTCAGTTCTTTTCCTAATCCAAGCCTCAAGCTTGCCTGTTGGTCAGGATCTGCTAGCAGTACATTTTTTTCGAACACTTACAGCCTGACTTTTCAAAGAAGCCAAATGTCTGCAGCTTCCACTGACCACCCTGGAGCTATGTGTGTCCTGCAGTCAAGAAGTCAACTTCTTAGCTTTGTCCTCTAAATAAAAACAAAACCCTTGAATGATATTCTGTGAAATTTTGCTGCACAGTATGGTCCTTAAAACTGAATGCTTAAGAAAAGTATGGAAAATAGTAGGTACGCTGGAGTAAAAGTAAAAACAGGTAGTTACCTGTGCCAGTCACACCTTTGAGGCTCCTTTAGCTCCCTGCTCCAAATCTGTGGATCACTGTCTTCTACCTCCCAATCACTGACATATTCCCACCCAGTATTTTACAAGATTTGAATGTTGAGTATCCCGGTTCTGAAAAGTAAAAATAATTGCACACTCCCTGTAATACCATCCTTTAAGGTTAAAGGTCTACCCTGTGCTGACTTACAGCTAAGCAAAGCCCTATCAGGCTGTCTTTTATGATCCCCTCTTCTATCCCTCAGGAAATGATATTACAAACCTTTATAATGTGACTGTCCCTAGTTTGAATGGAGAAGTGGTTAATAGCATTAAGTCTGAAAAGATCAACAATGTAACCTGGCATCCACAGAAAATGGTGAGGCAGTTTACATCTCAGGGCTGTAGTAGCAGGCTTTTAGCAAATCAAGCCTGTTAGGTACATTAATAAGTCTAGTCCGTGTTTTCAAGGGGACAAATAAGAAACAGGCTTCTTGTTACCAGAGAAAAATGAAAGCAAGCTCTTGATCCACACTGTAGTTCGGAGATCTGTTCACCCTGATAAGACATCACTTTTTCGCTCCTTGAATTTTGAGAAACGGTCTTCTGACTCAAGAGTTTGAGTTGCCATACAGAGAGGAAACCCAAGCTCTTTTGCAAGTTACGTGCGTACAACTGTAGCAGAGATGATAAGCACTAGCTGCTTCGGCTGTCAGCGCCTTCTAACAAACTGCTCTGTAATTGCCCGGAAAAGTTGGGAACCACCGAAGTCGAAGGAGACAGCCTGACTTGTTACGGTGAATTGTTGCCTTTAATCCTAATCGCTTGGTGGAAGTTGGATTTGCATTCTGCCTTTATTCTTGCTTTGTCTAAAACTGACAGATTATTTTTCCTCCAAAGTAATAAAAGGGCAAAAGTCTATCTTCTGATGTGGAAACCTGCCTCTGACCTGGAATCCTGCATATGTACTTTTTACAGATTAAAAATAATATTGTATATAAAAAAAATTGAATAAAGAATGTCTTTAAGTGAAAAAGGTGCGTTTTGTGTCCTCTGCCCCCAATAGCAACCTCCTGTAGCATTGGACCGTGAAGCTGATCCTATTTCACAGGCTTGGTGGTGCTGCAGCTTTCCTTTCCCCTGCAGCTCTACTAGGGGCTTTGTCAACTTAAACATGTATCAAGACCCCCCATTGCAAAATTAAACCCCTGTACCCCTTGCTTACCTTTAACAGGTTGCTGTAATTTTTCTCAAGATGTAGCTAAATGTACAACAGTTTGAGATTGTTTCTGTGTGCCAGTGTGAAAGCCACCAAATCTCACAAATTTTTGAGATTTCTACCCTTTTTGTTAAATTTGTGTGAAAGTGGCTAAAAAGTTCAAAGATTCTTCGTGATGAGGGTAAAGGGGCCAGGCAGACAAGCAGTGCTACTAAAAAAACTTAATTTTCTTAAGACACCAGGTTAAAACCCCAGCTTTTCTTGATACTAAATAGCCAGTGAATTGGGCAATTAAGTCTGTCCACCCATTCCTCTGCCCTCTGTGAAAAGGAAGAAGTTTGTAATTGTTTAAATGTTGTTCACAGGGAAATTGGTATGAGGAAATTGCTTCGAGTGAGCCTGTTTTCCCCCTGCACCTTTAAATTCACTCGAACTGCTGCTATAGCTCTCTGCTTTGCAGTACAGCAAGTGAATAACCAGATTTGCTTTCTGATTCACATTAGCTGTAGATAATCCTTACTGTCTGACATCACCCATATTGCTCGTATGCGGTACCTTGTTTTCATGGCGTGCCGTGACTGCCATCCTGTGCGTCCTGTTTCAGTGCTTTATATCCAATGCCCAACCTTCCCAGGGTGCTTCTGCCTCAGGATGCAATGACCTCCTTCAGTATTACTCCATAAGAGAAAATTGCTTCCGAAGTGCCATAGTTCAGTGCAACACATGACACCAGGTAGACGCCTGCTGTCCTGGTATGCCATCCATCTTGAGATGCAGTTACGCATTCAGCTGTTGCTCCCTAGCCTTCCACACAAGCACCGCATGTCCATGATGCACCCAGCTTCCTACCGCAGTGCCTCTACCAAAGCAGTGTCTTTTGCATCCACTGATCTTCCTGTGGTGTCCTCAGCCCTTAAGCCACCTCATTGAAACTCGCTTCTTGCATCAAAGCACGTTTGCTATGTCTATCCATGTCACAGCGTCTCAGCCACTGAGCCCTAATGCACAAAACCGTGCCTCCTGCTCTAGTACTATCAAGCTCTCTATCCTTGTCTGTAACATTTTGGCCAATACTGAAGGCTTCATTACTGTCCTCACTGCTTTTCAGATGGGATCCTGTCCTTTGTGGTTGTACTGCATTGTCTCTGCCTCTTCAACAGTGAGGTGTTTCACCCCTCTGCTTCTACCTCTTCTGAAACACACTTTCTTTGCACGTCCTCTATCCAAGGATATATAGCGAATATCCTCTTTTATTTCTCCTTTGGCACTCTGCCTGCGTGTCACCCGCCCCCCTCCCTTCCCTTGAAGACTCTGTGATTGTGTGTGCTCCTTCCTGGAGACCACGTGCCTTTCCTATGCATATTAATTAGCTGTATTTAAAAATCCTGAAATTAATCCTTAATGGGTTATTTTTAGCCTTCATCTTGTAGCTCTGGGAGTTGGGTTCTCTCAGTGCAAAGCCATAGGCATTCTGTGGGCTTTGGAAAGGAAACATTACTCTATTTGTGCCAGTTCATATGTGGGATGTGTGAAGGTTGTTGGTGGTGTGCTTTTTTTTTTAAAGTGAAGAGCAAGAGTGTTTTTGACAACAATATTTCAGACTGAGTGAACTCCCATGTGAAAAGGTTTGAGAAGAGCAGTCACGCATACAGCCAAACTACCTGCAGGTAAAAATTCAGGGAAGGATTTGGGGAGGAAGAAAAAAGCACTGTGTGTCCATGTGTACCAACAATTTCACTGTTTTCTTTCTTACATGGTCTCCATTGTACAAGTAGTTATAGACAACATGTCTGTATAATGTCTGTCTGTTACCATATAACCCAGAAAGGATGAGCTGCTGCATGACTGAGAAAATAGCATCACGTGTTGGTGTGGGATCACACAGAAGTCCCGTGTGAACTGCATTATGATAGAGCTACAAAAAGGAAGCATGTCCCTAAGTCATTTCTTCCACAAGCTGGTGCTGTGTATGTCTGCATACCCATCTCTTCACCGATCCATGCTGAAGCTTCAGCAAGGAAATCGGTGGAGGAAGCCCCAAAGAATACGAGTGGATGCCAGCAGTCTGCTACTGCTGAAATTGGTATGAGGAAATTGCGACAGAGGCCTGTGCACGGGTTCCAGGAGGTGAGGTGCAGGAAGATTTCTCACGTGGACAGATAGACACATGACTGGTGTGTGGATCCTGCCCAGCATTCCTGTGAATCCCTCTACAGAGCTTCTGGCTTAACTTGAACCGACTGTGGGGCCACAGAATGTGTTTTGAAGAAAAGAGTCGCTGAAGATGCAGAATTACTTGGGATACCAAAGACAAAAGTTTTCAGGGTAACCAGATACTACTTTTATGAGATACATCATTCTCCAGATGAAGGATGTATGGTACATCTCATATAACTGAAC